AATTGCTGCTGGATTCAGCCCATGCACTTGCGGAGGCAAAGCAAGCCAAAGCTTCTCCGTTTTGACACACACACACACACACGCACACGCGCACCATTTGAGTTTGTGTCCCATGCGGGGGTTGGCTCTCCTTCAAGCCGAGAGACGAACCCCAGGAGTTTCGAACTAGCCAGTAGTCCTTGCCCACCTCAGGCAGCTGTCGGCTTTGGCACGCGCAGGGCGCGCCGGTAAAGGCTTGGCCGGCCACGGGTGGTTTCATATTGATGTCCCTTCCAACCAGCCACAAAATGCTACTCTGCTTTATTTTTTCAAAGGGCGTCTAATCAAATTGCAATGTACAGTCGCCATTCAAAGTTTGTATGAAACGAAAGGGAATTGCTTGCAATTCGTTGCCTCGATGCTCACCTCCAGACTTGCTGAGGGTTGAGACGTGCTCGGATTTCACGAGTCAATCAGACACTTCTACCTGAAAGATCCATTTAATGCTTGCCAGGAATCGAGGCCCAATCATTGCAAGTGGCGACACTGGGGCCAGAGAATTCGCCCAAAAGGCTTCCAAACATATGTTGCCCGTACACAATGACCTTCCTCTGAGGAAGAATATGCAGGCTTGGTCATCACGCGTTTTGGCCAGGTTGCCTGTGCATCACGGCCATAGCCAACCAAAAGCACAGCGTGGTTCACCGTGGAATCCCTGCCAAAGTCGCGGAATGTTCAACGCCTGCTGTAATGCAAGGAAGCAAGCAGTGTACAGGCAAGAGCATTTGTGTAGCTGCCATCATAGTGCGTCCATGGAAAGAGCACTGGCAATCTTCAGCATACCCTCCCTTCCTCCCTCCCTCCCTCCCTCCCTAGTACCTCCTATGGAAGGCTGCTGTCCTTGCTTGACTGCTGGGTGTTGGCGCCTCTTGCAGCCGTCGAAGACGCCAGACTCGTAGTTGCTCCAAGGCTCGCCATCCACAGAGACCACCACAGGGCCCTCGAGATCAGAAGCCCCATGCAAGTTGCACCAAGGGTGTCTTCGTTTCTTCAAGAAGGCCTACCCATTGGGAGCATCAAGGAGGAAAAATAATTGGGAGTCTACAACTTCCTTGTTGCAACTTGTAGCAATGACAACTAATTCTCAGCATGCCCGAGATAGGCATATCTCCCTGCCCGGAGCAAAGCACGCCTCCTGGATGGCCATCATCAGGGGCTGCAGCTTGTTGATTGGTAGCCGCACAAAGCCTTGAGCTGGAAAACCCCGCAGAACTAGATGGTACTGGAGAGAGCTCCATATTGTGGGCTTTTGTCTTGCACTGGGCTTTCGGGAAACAAAAAATCATGTTTGTTTTTTCCTTTGTAACCAGCTCAAAACGGCTGTCAAAAACACCACCACATGCATCCTGAGCCATAGTGCCGCAGCCACTGCAGCCAAGACGCTGTTTGCTTTCACGACCTCGACAGGACGAAAGGTGAGCGCAAGGAATAGTTCATCCGGTGGTAGGCAGGGTCTCGGCTTCAAACCCATTCCTCCGTGGAGTTGCAACAACAAAGTTCTAGCTTTAGGCCATGGCCCACGCATTTAAGGAATACCTTGAGAATATGCGAAGCTTGGGAATGGACAAAGTACCTCCTGGGAAAATCCCAAGATCTGGGAAATCGGAAAGATCGCACACCCTCTTCATTGCCGATACTTGCAGATGCATGAACCCTGGAACCCCTATGTTTACATTGATAAATCTAACAAGAATCGCTGAACAACAATGCCGTGTGACTTTTGTATGTGGCGCATTGCCACTTTGATGGTTCCTTACCCAAGGGGAGGAGGATTACGGACAAGAACAAACTCCCTGGAACTCCATGGATGTCAATGTGTTTCCCAAGAATACCCATGACTGAGGGGTCTGTCAACTCGGCACAGCTTCATTCCGGACCTCACCGAGAAACTCCCCGCCCTTTCGTGTTGCTTTCCAATGGGCCTTGTTGCTGATGGGTCAAAACGTCTTCCATGCAGATTGTACAACCGGTAAACCACTGGAGCCAAGCAACAGCTGAGCGCATGTCGGGTCTGCAGCTCTCTGTTGCTTCCACATCGCCATGGTAAGACTTCCTCGCCTCAAGCAAGCATGACAAAAGGCCACCCAGCTCAGGGGTTTGAACCTATATCATCTCAACATGAGCTTCTCCTCCCCTTCTCACCCCTCCCGTGCCTTGCAAGACTGGGAATGAAAAAGGATATTGACATCCTTGCACAATCCCCACTTTCGAAAAGCCATGTGGCATGTCTCAACAGCCCACACAGTCCTTCAAAATCAGGGCACTCGACATCCCAACGCCGGAATCGCAATGAGCAAAAGCAACGTCGAGCGCTAATGCACAAGCCAAAACATGATGAACAAGAAAATCAACGGCAGCATCGATCTGGAAAAAAGCATGGTGAGAGTTGATTGAGTTTCTTTACAGGAGAATTTCCTGGACTTCAACTGTTTGCAGGGAATGAGCTAAGGTTCTACTGCAATCCAATATGATCCTCTTTCTCTTTTGACATCCATCATCCCAGCAATGGTTGGACCGAAACAAGCATGGTTGGTACTGTACTGGAAGCACGCGCACACTCGCACACGCACGCACACACGCACACAGCAAAACAAGTGAACAAAGAGCATAACAAAACAAGAAAGACGAGAAGGTTAGCGGAGGCGAGCACGGACAGGCACGCAGGAAGCAGGCAAGCAATGCAGACTTGCCCGCTCACAAGTGTGCATGCTTTCCAATGACTTGGATCAGGCAAGACTTGTACTGCCTTCTGCCCAAAGCCTATAGTTGCCAACCCAAATAGTAACTTCCGTTTTGGTGCGGCCTCGTGTTTTTCCAAGAGGCGGAAAGCCCGTGCTGGGCCACGTATTGGAAGGCCAGCTCCCCAGTGGCCCCGGAGCAGCCGCCGTCGCCACCTCCACTTGGAAATAAAATAAGCTCTGAATAGGGGGTTCCCTGTTTTGCCTTTGGGGTCCCTTTGCTTTTCCTTCACTTTCCCTTCAGTTTCCATTTGCTTTCCCTTCGGTTTCTTTTCGGTTTCCCTTTGTCATCCCTTTGTTTTCCCTTTGGCTCCCCTTCGCCTTTGCTTGGTTTCCCTATTTCTGCTCTGTGCAGACTTCTACCCCGCATCCTCACCGAAAGGACCTCGGACCTTTGCAGCCCAGCCGCCGCAGTGGTGAGGATTGGGCACGCAATCCTCGGCACGGGCGTCTGAGCGCCACCCAGTTTTGGAGGTCCCCGGCCATTTCAAAACACGCCCACAAATCAGCTGCAACGTGATGCGATACGGTGGGCCATCGGAATAGCACGCATGAGATGCATATGATAACAAGTGTTTAAATGAAACAAACAGCACCAGGGCATGGTGGCTTGCAGTCGAAGCGCGAGCAGCTCCTTGTAGGAAAGCATGCTGGGAGCCTTCTTGTGCGCAATCTCTGCCTTGGCCAGCGAAAGGTGGAACCCAGGGATCAAAGAAAATGCAACAAATCAAGCATGGCGCTGGGACACGCAAAGGAATCTCACTGTGTGTGTGTGAGGAAACGGGGCAGGCTCCTCTGGTACCGAACAACCAGTAAACTCATTCTGGCAACAGGGGTCGGCCATTTCGGGGTTCCCCATCTTGGGTTTCCCCCATTTTCACACAAACCCGGATGTCGCTGGACTGACCTTTGAGCGCTGGATAGTTTCCCATTGGTGTCCCTTTCAAAGCTACCCCCAGAAAATGACCGACACTCCCAGCCGACTCCACTCCGCGGCACTCGCATCTCCAGCGCACCGGTAGCTGCGACAGCCCAGCAAGACCCACACGCGCCCTGGTCGATGAAGTACCTTAAGCATTCACAAAGGGACAGGCACCATGCCTTGCAAGCCAAGACGGTTCAGAAAGAGGGTCATGCTTGCGGGTGCCCACTTTCACCTGGTCGCTTCAGCTCCTGCTGTGGATCCAAATACTTGCCATCGTTGCCAAAAATCGAACTTCACGGAAGAAACCTGATCCCGCCAACCTGACGTTGGAAGGAAAAGAGTCAACCCTCAAAATATATCAGCAAACCTCAGATTTGGATCCCCCTCCAATCAAGTTAAATCCCCGACTCGTCCTTTCTGGGAAATCCCATCTTCCTTTCCCCGAGACGGCCTCAGGTCTTGGAGCTCAGGCGGATTTCTGCGGATGGCCTCTGGAGCTCATGCCGCGGCGCGCGCCGGTGGTGGTCTTGGCGGCCCAGTCGATGGACTCCGCAAAGGCCGCGGAGGTCTGCAGGAAGCTGCCGGTGGTGTTCCACCACCTGCGACGCGACGGCCGCGAGGTTTCCGAAGGCCCGGTTCAAGACCCGGAACAAAAAGAAAAACAAAAGCAGTTGGGGAAATGAGTCGGGCGGCCGCTTCTTGTTGGACTTGACATGCTTCTCTCAAAAAAGCAAGGAGGTCGGTCTCAAGATTCTCCCAAGGTTACCCTTCCCAGCCCGTCGTATTGCCCCCGCGACAAACGCACCAGGTCAGCCGGAGCCAAACCCAGCGCCGAGCCGCGCGCCCATGCGCTTGAAGCCCAACAAGCGGCTGAACTCCTCGGGGGTGTGGTCCTGCGAGTCTGCGAGTTCCGAGCCGGGGCAGAGGTCTCCTCCCCATTTGCCCAAGGAAGTGGCGCCAGGAGCCCCGTCTTGGTGTCTTGAAAAACTTCAGTTGGAGCTTTTGGATGGATACCGGCACTTGCAGGAGGATCTCTGTCCAGCAAACGTCCCGCTAACAAGGCTGACGTTATGATGTCTGATCCGGTGAACACACCTTGCAGCAAACTTGCTACTTGGATATCCATCTTCACTGCATTTAGTGTCACCCACAATCGTAGACACTTGTCATTCGCTATTTGAGTGGATGCTGGGAGTCGCCCGTCAATTGGATCCGTCTTCACTACTAGCTGCACCCTGAACTTGACTCTCTGCGTGCATCATATGCAAGAGAGACAAAATTGACTTGTTCCCCCCCAGACGACATGATCAGTTGCCAACGTCACGTCTAACAGCAAGCCGGCCAAAGGCGCGACCTGGACGGAAGGCGACCAACATTCTGCTTGGTCAACCCCATGGATTTCCCCAGAGCCATCGACCCACAAGCATGCCAAGGAGTTGGCTGACCTGAGACGGCCCAGTGGTAACTTTGTTGCGGGTTGAAGGGAAACTAAGAAGAACACACTCATGTTGGGGGATGCCAAAACCAAAATGGGCTCCAAAAGGAACTAAGCCAAATCAGTGGCAGCCCTCTGCATCTGGAAGCTGAGTGGTCCCTGTCACATTCAGATTCTGGGCTCGTCTTGCCCGGCTTGGCACCCGGGCAGCAAAGCGATTCAAGCCCGCTGTCCAAGAGCCTCGGCGACTTTCCGGGGATGCTGGGCGTGTCCCTGAATTTCGTCTGGTGGATTCGAAGGTTCCCTGGAGAAGCCGAATGAAACCCGAGACATCACACAGGATTTGAAAGATACGCGCCCATGCCGGCCCTTGTTGCAAGTGCCGAAGCTTCTTGAGTTATGCAGCCATCCGCCACATGTGGCGATGCTCGACTCCCTTTTCTACCAACAAAAAGTTGATCCAAGGTCGCGAGAGACCAACCTCAAACGAAAAGGCTGCCCAAGGGCATTCAAGCTTGTACAGGGTGAGGAAATCTGTGTCTAACGCAACTAATTTCAAGGTCACTCACATTTACCACTGCCCCCGCCTCACCAAGGTTGCCCAGCGGCTCGCCAGAAACCAAAGGCCGGCTTGGCTGACCCCATCAACCGCTTGCACGCCAATAGTAAAGATTCACTGCAGAGCAGATTTGCACTCCGCCCCCCAAAACTGGCTGGTCGGCCACCGACCAAAATGGCAGCATGAGTGTTGTCATGAAACCCTCTCCTCATGAGTCATGAGGATGAAAGCATAAAGCTGTGGATGCTGCCCTTGACTCCATTCAAAAAAATAACAAAAAACTTCGGGAAAACAAAAGAACAAGTCGCTCCGCTCAAGCCTCCCAAGCAATGTGGCAGCTTAAAGGAAGGCAAAACCTCACGAAGATTGAAAAGCAAACTACCAGTGCACTAGTGCCAGCCTGATGGTGGCTTCAGGCGCTGGGGATCCCAGCCCCTGTGCAACGCACAGGAAACCTCCTGCCCATCCACGAACCACCAAGAAAACTCAAAAAAAGGCTCAAAGTCCGAAAAACCTGGCCTCTTTTTTCTGCCCCAAAAAATCGCGTGTGGCTCCTTCTGCTTGGCTTCCCTCCCCCCCCCCACCCCTCCCAACCACTGCCCCCCCCCCCCAAAAAATGTAGAAAAGGCTGGTCTTAGGGGGTGGGGGGTAGATGGTTGCCTGTTCTGTTTTCTTTTTCACAATTCAACACGTGTACCACCTTATCCGTTTTTTCAAGGCTGATTTTGGGGGCATGAAATAACGATATGGATGTGGTAACGAATTGATGATTTGGTCCCCTGTCTCGTTCCAGATTTCAACTTTTAGTTTTATTGATTGAAAGAGGTTAGGACTTTCTGTGGATTCATGGGTTGGCTTTTGGGTGGTTGTTGTGGTTTGTCATTTAATGAAATGTTTATAGGTTAAAAGTTCACTAGAATTAAAACCTATAAGTTTATAAATGTTGTAATCATATTATAGTTATAGAATAATATGAATAAACCTGCTTTCAGTGTTTCCAGTCTCCTATGTTGTTCCAAGAACTGCTTAAGATGTTTCTGATATTATACCAGATTAAGTTAACGTCATAATCTTTCATTGGTGCTCTTTGTTGTATTAAATAACGCAACACTGATATCACAGTATAATAATTACAATGCATTGTTGTCATTCCTCCTCTTTCGTTAATACTATTACCATTATGTTTAACGAGTTCTTCTTTCATTATGTTTTCGTAAATCTCTTTTATCCATTGATGATTTTGTTCTCCATACTCGGCTAACATATCTAGATATATATCTTCCATTGTTTTATTTTTTTATTATTTCAATGACTTGATTATACGATGGATAGGGATTATCCTTAATGAAACTTACACAATGAGGAAAATCCACCACACACACACAATGGGGAGTAGCCTTTGTAATATTGCTTAAACCAGTCCTTATGTGTGTCTTTATATTCAGCTGTTTTTTTTTAATACTGGCAGTATTGAACTGTGTTTTTTCAATACTGGCAGTATTCAGTTTCCAATACTGGCAGTATCCAGTATTCAATACTCAATACTGGCAGTATCCAGTATTCAATACTCAATACTGGCACTATTCAGGTTTCAATACTGGGTCAGGAGACACACAAATCAGTTTCAAGCTCATCACCAACAACCCCAATTTCAAGTTTCAAGCCCAAGCCCAAACCCACCCCTTTTATCCATCCCTGTTTGTCAGAAGGTCCGCCTCCAACGACATCAAGGACGCTCATGACGCTGGTTGCTTGTAATGCTTAATCCCCCCTTCTATCAAACAAACAAACAAATATATCACTAATCAAATCAGTAGGTATCTTATACAACTCATCTTGTTTATGACTGTTGTATCCATCACCCCAATCAACCTTTTTACCATTGGGCAATCGTTGGGCAGTTTCAAGATGTTTTCCATTGCTTATCTTGCCACAATCCCTTTTGCATAATGGTCTGGGTTTCCACGTTTCAATGTTAGTCCACAACCTCGTCCTCTTTCGGTAGTTCATACCATATTTACAGTAATCCACATCATAATATTTTAGACCTCTCATAAAGGTCTGTTCCTTTAACAATCCAGTTGCAGGGTTTTCAATGACCCTCCACTTCGGTTTGAAGTAGTCGATGATTTCAAGGGTTTTCAAAACAATACTGTTAGCATAATCTATCTTTCGGACACCCCTCGTCTTCGCTATGCTGTATTCTGTGCATGGAGGAGATGCCCAAACAACATCAAACTCTCCAACATTCCAACTCAGAATATCCTGATTGATATCAGCATTTTTCAAATCCAAGGAAATCACACTGTAGCCCAAATCACGAGCGACCATGCCAACACTGCCTGTACCACTAAATAATTCTAATAATTTCATATTATTAGAATTATTTAGATATTTATTTCAATTATCTTCATTATGTTAATTGCTATTTGATTTATATGATTGACACATCTTAGTCTTTTGATGTCTGCTTAATTTGCTTTTGCGACCTACTGCTCCACAGACTTCGCACACTACATTCTGCTTGTTTTGTTCAAGAATTTGTTCTCTATTCATTTGGTAATATTCTTTTCTATGTTGTTTATATTCTTCTTTATTGTTTTGATACCATTCTTTCATTCCGTTCTTTATTTTCTCTTGGTTAAGTGGATTATACATTTCTTTGTATTCTTTTGGTGTTCTACCTGCCACACAACGATTGACACATTCTGTATTTTGGATATGATAACCTTCTCGTCGAAGTAGTTGCTCTTTACTATCACACGGGTAGTGCTCAATGAGTTCTATCTTACAGTTCTCAACACCGTATTCGTCAAACAACACTCTAGAATTTGAATGTTTGTTTCGCCCGTGCCTTTCATTGAAATAATATTTCTGCCTATGTCTTGCCATCCTTTGGCTTAGTTCCTCACACGTGCTTCCTACATAACACTTTTCATAACCAACATCAACTATTTTGTAAATTTTACCGTTCTTATATCTTTCCATATCGGTTAATATCTTTAATCATCTTTTCTTTAATTCATTTTATCCTGAAATGACCATAGGGCAAAGAATTAAAAGCATCAAAATAATGTCTTTTATTCTCGAAATTACTTAGACTTTGTTTAACCTGAGACATCGAATAAATCTGATGAGTGCGACTCCTGATGAAGTTGTAGGTGATTTCGTGTTTTTTGTTTTGATAAAGTGATTCCTCATAGTTTTGATATGTTAATTCCTTTTTAACCTTATGTTTAACAACACCTTTAGATTTCTTATGTTCTTCTTCTTCACCGTGGATTGTGAAAGCGTATGACTTTGGTTTGAGTGCTATAAACTTTGTAATTATCTTTGAAGAGCATTCATCTTTGTACATTCCTAAGACCTTCTTATTTGTTGTGTCATGGCATGGATGTTCAACAGGATAATCACTAAAATCCATATGTTGCTTGATACCTTGAAAATCCTTGTAGACATCATCAGTGAAGGTTTGAATTACATAACTGTCAGTATCGGTATATATCAATTTGATATTTTCGTTATATTTCTTTTTCAACACACCATAGTAAAACTCATACATATGTAATTTACTTAAATCAAGAATGGTCATTCCTAAGAATATGGGTTTATCCAATTTCAGTTTCGCCTTAGTTTTCTCCACTCCTACCAGATGTTCATTAATGATAAATCTATTTTTGAATGTTGGATTATTCACACATTTTTCATACCTAACATCATTATCTACCAGTTCAAAATCCATATGTTTTCTTTTGTCTTCCATAGTTTTTCCATACACTGCGTTATTCATTAATTTAAACAAATCCTTCTCAAAGTCGCTCTTCGCTTCTTTCCTTTTGCCTGTGTTGAAGTCAATCCATGGTTTCAACCAAGCCCTCTGTTGAAATTTTATTATCCTATGAACCTTGGTGAGTTTCATACCCATTTTTAGATAATACTGTAAAGTCTTGATATGAACAACATATTTTTCTTTATCTTTCAAATTTAATATTAACTTGCTGGTTTTCTCATCCTTCGGTTCTTTGTTTCCATAGTAGATTTTGTAGATTTCCTTTTGATAGTCTGACAACATATTAGCATTGACATTCATTATTTCCGGTGCTAGTGGATAGTCCGAATGGTAGTCATGTAGTGTTTCTGGATAATCCAAATCAACTTCCATAATATAACCATACTCATCTTTTTCATCCCACTTTTCAATGTTAGGTGTTTTCTTTGTCCATGTGATGTTCTTTAAAGGCAATTTTTGAGACATCGCCAGACCATACAGATTGTTAGCATCTAAGTAATTGATATAACTTGACGGCTTGTTTTCATCGAAGGCTTCATCCATATACTTATTGTTTGCCTCAGCCAGTTTATGACTGACCTGACACATGCCTCCTCTCATTCCCTGTTCAACCATCTCATACATTTCTTTATCATGCAACTGCTCAATTTCAACACCAGTTTTCAACAACATAGCTTCCCAAGCGAAGTTAGGAAGGGTATAATAGTGTGCGGGGTCCAAACCGTAGTATTCCATACATAAGTCTCTAAAGTTTTCAAAAACATCAGTCAATAATAAAACATCGGTTCTCAAATACAAATCGTGATATTGTCCTAATGTTCTGATACCGAAGTGTTTCCAAACCTTTTGTGCCCTTTCATAATCTTTGTCGTTGACATGTTCCTCACTTAA